AGTTCATGACCTATAATGCCTAATAATAAAAATGTGTTTAACCATTCAAACTAAGCTAGTATTTAGAGGTAATGACAAGAAAAAAGTTATAAAAAATGGAGAGGGAAGAAGCATTAGTTTACTTTTAAAATCTCTAATCAGATATAAAAGAGAAGGAAAGATTCTCTAACTGTGTATAAAAGGGAGGAAAATGCTCGACACTTAAAATTATTTAATATAAAGTGAAAATTAATGATGCTTAATTCAGAAGCCCTTGAGGATGTATCCAATTCTACTATTTAGTAGCTTATTTATTCTTGGGGACATTTCTTAAATCTTTAAAGCTCAGGTTCCTCATTTGTTAAAAAGAGGATAGTACTCATTATAAAGCTTCATGAAATAGCTCATGTCAGTCACAGGCACTCGAGAGACAAACATCTCTCTTTGTGACCACCTTTCCTTCCAGGGTCTTGGAAGATTACACTGTGTCCATGTTATAATCATGCCATTCTCATTCATATCATTGGGAATTAGAGTGATGCCTAGCATGGATGAATAAGTCTCAATACATGTGTTGGCAAAATGAAAGGACTAATGAGCAAATGAGAATCAGGCTAGGGAAACAAAAGTACTAAAAAGTCATGTGCCCTGTACACCTTACTTACACTTATAGAATGCTATGTGTCAACTATATCTCAATAAAACTGGGGGGAAAAAGTCATATGCCCAGCCATTACATAACTTAAAAAGGAAAACACACAAGGAGGGTACAGGGAGAGTTACCAAGATAGTGAAATGCCACATACAGAAGAGATAAAAAGATAAAGTCTTAGTCCCTGTCCCATGTCTAGGGTCCAAAGACAGAGATTTGTGTCTGCCATTCAATCAGAGAAATGCTGCTACAGAATTCTGAAACCAGTGCCATGAAAGCACAGAGAAAAATAACTGCATGAAAGACTCAGGCAAGACCTCACAGAGGACATAAAACTTGAACAGGCGGACACAGGCAAAGGGACATTTTTGTCAGAGGAATAAAAAGAGAATCTGATCTATGGAACCTGTCAAAGCATTCTGGGAAACTCTAAATCTCTTTGACCTTTTCTAAATACTATAAATACTACAGATCTTTAAAGAAAATTGGTATGAAAGATGTTCAGAGAGAATCATTCCACTGGCTATAATAAAAAGCACCCAAAATCAATTATTTTTTCTAATTTGTCTTATAAAAATATAGTTCTGTATATGAGAGCCTGTTCTATAATCTAAGTCTAATTTTGTTGCATGTCAGTTTTACATGTTTTGCCTTTGGTCAGTTTTGATGGAACAGTAAAAATACCATTCCATTTCTATTCCTCTTCTCTTGGAAGTAATAGGCAGTCCCATTCTATAATATTTTATATTTAAAGCATTCAGAAGTCAAAATGTGTGGCATTTTCCACCTTACCAGTTTCATGTTAAGTCAGTGGCATATTACCAGACCAAGAAACCCAAAATTAGACAAAGGCAATCTACTGGGATCAGAAATTTGCCAAATCTCATAATTCAAAAAGAAACTGTTAAGGATGGCTGTGAGGTTTTTGGCACTGTCAGTTTAAGCCATTCCATAACGGGGTTTGTATTTCATCTAATCAGCAAGTCAGAAACTATAAAAGTTCTGTTGGTGGGGGGGATTAAAGTTTGGATTGTAATACATGTGTCTTTCCTTCCCTTCCATATGTTTCAGTAAATTAAAACTGCTAAATCTTGTTTTTAAAAATGCATTCTAAAAAATAAAGCAGCCTGTAAAGTCGTATTTTGGGAACAGGAAACTTAAAATATTCAGGCTGGAAAAGAAGGAAAAGAAAGGACACGTGGTTTCTATATTCAATGTAGTGTCACAATTGAGGGATACTCAGAATTAAGTACATTTAAGCATTCTTTTTTTTTTCTTTTTCTAAAAGACTTTTAGAGGGGTGGTAAATTAGGCATCTGAAACTTTTCTAGATGATTTTTGAAGGTGGCCATTTATCAGTCTAATCAAAAATGTTTCCATTTGAAATCCATAAGAACATCTCAAAGACAGTAGTTGAGGCAAGAGGATTCTACTCTTTTATGGAGCTGTGTGAATTATCATTCTATCAGAATAGAAAATGGAGAGTTTTCACGAGGTAAAACAATTTTTTAACTCATTAAGTTAGACATATTATGATCCTATAAATTGTCAAAATAGCATCTCATACCCTTCAATTCTGAGCAATGTCCTTTCCCTTTCTTTATTCCTTCTCTATTGGGCCCCCACATTGATTTCTTTCATAATTTCTTCTTTCCTGTTTCTTCATCTTTTTACTTGTGTATGAAAACATTTTCTCACCCTTCTTCTCCTATCCTTCAAATAAAAATCACTTTGCCATCATATTTTTAATTTCGAAAAACTTTTTCTTATTTTTCCCTTACTAATTTTTTATGGCATCCTGAACTTCACAAAATGCTACGTTACCATCTCTAAGGACTTTTTTTCTTCTGTTTCCTCCAGTTTCCTTCTGCTAGTCATTTGTTTCAGTTTCAATCTTTAACATTTGAGGTTTTCCTAATATGGCTGACGACCCTTGGTTACCTGTTGCCATTTAAAAGCTGAGTAAATAAAAGCTGGATGAATTCCTCAGGGATAGCGGTGCTTTCTAGACTGAAAAGATTCACTTTTGTATGTCTGGCTTGGGAGCTAGTCATTTACAGAGATCTCCAAATGTAGGTAGATAGAAATCTTTTCCCTACAGTGATTCACTTTCTCCAGATAAGAATTTAACAATCTCTTAGGAGGCGGGGCACATGTGTGTGTGCTTGTGTGTCTGGGTCAGTGTGTTGCTGAGGGAGTATAATCTCTCTGTCGCTGTGTTCTGCACGTGGTAGTGGAGAGGTATTGACAATCTGAGGACACTGCTGGAGGACGATCAATCCTCTTTTCCGTCCTCTCTGCACTCCACCTTCGGCTGTGCAAGCCGTTCCTGGGCCATCATAGGAGCACTCTCATCATCAGCTGCTCCACCACCGCGAACCTCCTTTCCCCTGACTCGGAGGTGAGTGCCTGCTTGCTGGCACCGGTGCGCACAGGGAGAGACCTGACCGTCCCATGCGCAGGTTATAACTGATGACCCTATTTGATACTCCTCAGCTCACTCTCCTTTACGCCAATTGCCTCCAAGTGTTGAATCTCCCCAGATTTCTTTTCATTGTTATCCCGTTTCCAAAGGCCATTTAGATGGTGGTTTACTCTGTTCCAACAAATCAATTGTTAATACTTCTCTCTTCTTTCTGACTTTTCAGAGATCAGCTTAAACCGCATCTCCCCTCCCGTTCTTACTGTTCCTGTAAGGTTATCCTCAATATGTTAGTTAGTGAAAGTTTATTCTGATGTTCACACATAATCACCATTTCTTTGTTCACCATTCTCTTTGCACCCCACTCAGTAACTCCTCCTAGATTAACTGTGTTCTTTTGAAGGACATCTTCAATAATGTCTTCAGCAAGACTTTTTAGTGGACTGACTTTTATTTAATTTCTTGGCCTAGGAATTCCCTGATCATTCCAAAGCAAAGTAAGTTCAAAACCCAAAGCCTGATAAAGGGAGGGCAATAGTGGCAAACTCCTTGCAGGGATTTCAGACTCTGTGCTGAGATAGGCAAACCTCACGCTGCCCTCTTGCATGTGAACTTTTCTGCATAATTCTTTCACTGAGGGTATGAATTTTCCTGCTTTATTTAGGTATCTAATCCCAGGCCTTCTGTGTGTCCAAAGCTTTGTCTCTTACTCTAAACAGAATGAAAACAGACAAATAATAAGCTCCTTCCCATAGTTGTTACAATGGGTAAACTATCCCAAATCAGCTGCACGATCAGCCTACTGTTGACTGTTTAGTTATTGCTTCACTTCCTCCCGGGGAAATTCTCATACGACTTTTTGAGCTGAGCTATGCAGTAAGAGCATATGTGTTAATATTTTATTAAGCATATCTAGATGTTTTTAGTGGGATGTTTTCTGGTTACTTAGTCTGTGTATATAATCTCTTTAATAGCATTTTAATGGTATCTTAGAATGGATACATAATACTTTTAAGTGTTTAGCCAATCATCTTCTGCGGGAGGTATTATTTTAAAACAATTATAAGATATCTTTCTATGAAGTCACTTTGGAATCACTTTCCTCATCTTTAATTCTATGTTTTGCTAGTGTTCACTTATTTTCATTAATATTGGAGAGAGATTAAGGGATATAACTAAAACAGCATAGATAATGGAGTCAGATTAGGATTAAAAGCTAGTTCTACCATTTCTTAGCTGGGTGAGCTCAGAAAATTTACTGAAATATTTTGAACAATCCCCCATTTTATAAAAAAAAGGATTAATTACTTTGAAACCCTATTTTGAAATAAATAAAATTACAATTTTTGTAATTTTTGAAATAAATAAAATTACAATTTTTGTAAGTCACAATGGTAGAATATCAACAACTTCTTATGCTTCAAACTAATACTGCTTTCACAGAAATGTGGCCAAGATTGCTTGTCACAGGGGTGGCCAAATAATGGCTCCCTCCTCTTACAGAATGATTTCCAATTAGTAGGACTTCTAGGTGACAGTGATGGACACACATGCAATTTCTTATACAAGCTGGTTACTTAGAAAGAATCAGACTTAATTCCACATTAAAGCCAATCTTGGGTTAACATTGGTTTGGAGAACATAATCTTTATACAAATATTGTTATTATGACAAGTTCATTGTACAATTACATATCTGCGGTTCTCCATTTACACATTTCCATTAAGTTACATCAAGGATACAATGTCACATTTTGTCTATGGCAAACCCTATAGCCAAAGGAGCACATTTTTCCATATTTTCTGTACAGAATTCTAACTTAGTATTACCATCGTTACAACCTAACAATTGGAGTTAACTAGCCAGGAACCAGTACCTCAAACCCTATCTACCTCAGTCTGCACAGGCAGAACCAACCTCTAAAGAGTGAGAAAGGTAGTTACTCACAGTGAGAGCAAGCAGTTTCCCATAGGTGAGATGAGCTGGGATGTGGTCAGTCTTAGATCTCAGTGATTCCATATACCAGTGCTCTGCTTCAGGGAGTTTGCTTAATCGCATGTATGCTTCACCTGGCAAGAGAATCGTGACAATCAATCTGAGGATACAGCTTTCCAAGAACATTTGCAGCGGCAGCACATCATCATGTTTATATTCCATAAATTTTCAGATTCTGTGGCAAGTGCTCTCATCCATTAGCTCATTCCATTCCCCAAAAGTCATCATTTCCATTTTACAGATGAGAAAATTTGTGCTGGGAGAAATTAAGCAAAATGCCTAAAAGTCAAAAATGCAGTAAGTGGTAAAGCTTTGATTTTTTTTTTTTAACCTAGAAACATCTAACTCCCAAGCATATGGGCTTCGTCATAATTTCTTTTTCTTTTCCTTTTTAAAGTCTGTTTTTTCTCATGTATAATCATTTGTTCTTTTTTATTCATATTCATTCAATTCCTACAGAAACTCAAGTATTTACAGAAAAACTACTAATTGGAGAGTACTACGCAGGACCTAGACAAAAGAAGTTAAAGGTCTTCCCGTTAAGGCTTACAACCTCGTTGAGAAAGTAAGACCCAAAGAAGGAGTTAAAAACATTCTGGATTAAGCACTGGTTGGTGCTAGATTTTAGTTTTTTTCAGAATTGATTTGCATTTTATCTTTTAATCAGTAAATTAAAATTGACCGGTTTCATTTGGAAAACCCAGTGAATACATGACAATTATTTAGCATGCCCATCACTATGTGCAAAGCTAGTCTAAGGCCCTTCAGCCATCAGCAGCTATTTTCAATTTACACAGATCTTTCCTACCAGGGAGCATTTCACTACCAGCCAAGCCAAGAGGAAAAAAGTTGGAAATAAAGCCAAAAGTTTATCAGTTGCCTACTTATTATTATCCCCCTCTCCCTTATATGCCTGTGGTATGAAAGAATATTCACCCCGTGTGAAAATTATATTTTAAGATGATTTGTGCATTTAAGTTAAATATAGTAGTTATAATAAACACTGCAAATGTAGAAGCTACTCGATTTCTGAGACCAGGCAGCAGACTGGTAATCTGCACTATTTCTCAAGCAGACTTTTATAGCTTATCTAATCATAATTATAGTGGCTTTTTCCATTTAGAGGAATAATCAGGGGCTTTTCCTAAATGTATTATCCACACTGGTTATGTATCTTTGCTTCAAAGGAAGAGCTAGCTTCCTTTTCTTTTAATCAAATTCTCTTTGCATTAACACAGCATTGTTAGTACAAATATGTTTGATGAATTGAATTGATTTGAGCCTCCTGACCTTTTGAGTGCTCTTTGCTTGGCTGGTTAGTAAATAAAAACCAAAAAACAAAAACAAACAACAACAAAAATATATATATATATATATATGACAAATAATATGTAATATGCACAAAAATGTATGTACCACTCACACACATCTATGTGTTTCTAGTTCTGAGAACAGCCCTTAAACTAAACTATCATAACAGTCCTTAAACTAAACTATCATAAAAAATGATAGCTGAAAAAAAATTTTTTTCCTAAGGCTTAAAACCTGTTTGCATTTAAAGAATTTGGTTAGATGTAATCAAATGCTCAGGGTGAGATGCAGGAAGTATTTAAAGCAAACACCAGAATGAAATACACAAAATAACCATGGTTGTTAGAGTGGTAGGAATAGGCACGGATTTAACTTTTTTCACGTTTCTGTAATAATTGCATTATTTTTTTATTATAATATCTCTATAAGTGAAACACTGTCAAACAATTTTCTTCTTGCCATGTTGAATAAATACATGTTTCCAAATAAAACAAACCGTAAGTTTTCCTAGGGAGTGTGAATCACTTCTTCATACTAAAACAATATTAGATATGATTTATGTAAGAGCAAGGATGCACAATTCCTAATATTAAAATGTTTGAAAGCAATCAATGACAAACCATATCAAAATATCTCCAAAATGGTTTCTAAAGCCAGTAGGAAACATACTAATTTCAGAGTGAGAGCTGAGAGATGGGCCTGCATTATAGATTCTGCTTGGAATTAACCTAAAATTCTACTTTGGGTCTTCAGGTGCTCATAGATCAGTTCTTAGAAGTTCTACAACCATTGCATTTAATGTGGCTTCTCCTTTTCCTTTATTAAAACTTCAATTAATTTGTAGAATAGTAACAGTAGGTTACCTGTCTAGAAAAAGGCTTTGAGAGAGCCTCAATTCTAGGGTGCTTTCCAGGTTCAAATCTGTATATTTAAGTGGTTGATGTTTGAAAATCATGTCAGAAAGGGCACTACATTTTTTTTCAAGTCAGAAATTCATCATTATTAAAACTCATTTTGGAATGAAACATTATTAATTTGCTAACTGCTTAGCGTGGCCAATTTCATTCAGTAAGAAGTCATGAGAAGCTTATTAATTTATAAAGCTTGTGAGGTGAGGAAATATCAAAGGGCCACAAATAAATATACTGTAATAGTGCATCTCAGCAAGTATATGAAAAATGTAAATCACTGGCCTACTTAGGTACTACTCATTACAACTTAGAGAAACTTCATGTAACCATTCATTTCATTGCATCTCAGTAACAACAATGATGACAATGTCACTCACTGAATGCTTATTATGAATTCAGGTATCAAGCTACAGGGGGCAAATGTCTGGCTTAAGATAATACCCATTCCTCCCATTCTGTACCTTTTGGCATGTGGAATGTTTTCCCAGTCAGCCCTACAAGGAGCCTTAATACATCCTCCTCATCCAACCAGTATCAACCAACTTCTCAATTACATTTGCAAGATGAAACATATTTTCAATCTCTGTATTAGTTGCTTAATAGATGCATCTCATTTTTTAAATTAAGGAGTGTCCTTAATTACCTGGATTTTACAGATGAAAAAACTGAGAAGTGGAGTGGCCAAATAAAACACAAAATCGTAAATGTGGAAAAGGGTTAAGCTGCAGTTCAAACCCAGGATGACCTGACCTCAAAGCATACTGCCAGCCTGTTGGTACTGAGCAATCACAAACTTGCCAAGTCTCCAGCTCAGGTGAAAATTATACTGTGTTGCACTCACAAAAAGTTATTTTTGAGCTTGGGATACCCTGGCCAGAGAGTTCATTTCACTTTGCCTTGGGCTTATCTATTGAATTAAAAGAATAAAGAAGAGCAATAATCATCCACAGCTGACCTTTAAAAATGTTTCTGCTGCATATGTTCCTCAATGCATAAGAGGGAAATGGGTAGCACAGAAGATGCACTGCAGTTCTAAGGTTAACCTTAACACAAAAACAGTCTGTAAAAGTGGTAATAAAATCAAGATGCAGAGCCTAAAATGCAAGAAAATAATCATGGGTGAATTTCAATGTGTTTAAAAGGCAATTCAATAAAGATGTAGGCGACAAACAAAACAAGAACAGGCACCTGCTATATCCTGGCACTGCCAAGGAAGGAGCTTCATATTTCTCACTTCTAATTCATATTCGGGGTTAGAATACTCATTTTATGGATGAGCAGCGAGGCTCAGGAATATGTGACTTGCACAGTTAATAACTGTATCCTAAAAGGTCTGAATGGGTCGAAAGCCTGTGCTTTTCAGCACTGCATCAAACTGCCTACTACATAAGGTTTATTATTTACTGAATACCTACTAAAGTATTAAGTATATTATCCTTATACTTTTAGCTTATTTCTACACTGTAATTAGCATTGGTTTCACTTTACAAATGAAGGAACTATGGCTTACTGAGCTTAACCAACTTGCTCAACATTCAAAAACAAGCAAACAACAAATTCTGATTCAGATTAGAGTTCTCTTTCTTTCCACTATACCATTCTGTCCAAATACTGTAAAAAATAATTAGAGAAGGGATAAAATAACTGTAAAAAGTACTATCAGTTTTAGGAGAGAATACATATATATATATATATATATATATATATATATAATCTCTCAAGTCTGATTAAAATCTGAAAATCACAAAAAGTCCATAAAGGAAATGGACACAGAGGGAAAAAAAATCAGTAAATTCAGTAAGGAAGGGAACGAAGATACTTGATCAGGAATAGAGTGGAGGGAGGAGGGTTAAACAGCCACCTTCTCTGGTCCTGTAACTCTTCTTAACTTATAATAGCAGACAGAAATGTTTATAGTACCCAGGAGGAAAGAAGCAATGATGACTATTTTTCCTTCCCATCCTACGAAAAAATGACATAATAGAGGCACTTTCCTAAGAATTCGAAGATTTGCTGTGTGATGATGCAGTGATCAGGTTCATCACCCAGATTTATTTCCAATTCACTCACAGACAAAAGGGATTTGGATGTCTCCAGGCTGGCTTCAGGCAAATATAAACTAGTTTCAGATGTAGAACAAATAATGTCACTCTTCCTCCCTAAAAAGCCCTGAGTCTAAATAACCCAGGCAAAGGCTAACTCCTTAAAGGAAAGAATGCTGGATTATTGATGATGTAATAGTCCAGATCTCATTGATTCTCGTGTTTCAAGTTACTGGACAGTTCCAGCTTACAGATAAAGAACAGAGCATGCAGTGGGGCCATACGGCCCATACCTGCCAGTGTTACCTTTTGTTTCTCCTGCCCTTGCTCAACATAATCTATTTCTATGTTAAGATTCAGTTTAGGTTTCCTATTTTTTTTTCTTTTGGTTTTATGTAGATATAAATGACATACAGCACGGTAAAAGTTTAAGGTGTACAGTATAATGACTTGACATATATTGTGAAATGATTATCACAATAAGTTTCATTAACATTCATCATGTCATACAGAGACAAAATAATTTTTTCCCTAGGGATGAGAACTTTGAGGATCTACTCTTTAAGCAACATTCAAGTATGTCTATAGCAGTGTTAACTACAGTCTTCATGTTGTACATTATACCCCTAGAACTTCTTTATAGATGGACAGTTGTACCTTTTGGCCACATTCATCCAGTTCCTCCAAATTCCCTACTTAAAAAAAAATTTTTCGGACCACCTTTACCAAAAGTAATCACCCCTTACTCAACTCTTACAATAATTATTAAATCTCCTTTTTTAATTCTTAAATACACATCTTGCACATTAG